TCTCTAATTGCAGTGAATTAAATATTTTAGCCACTCTCAGCCTGGGCTTACACAAAACTATGGAATTCTCCTTTGAATTGGCAGGTGCTGTAATTGTACAGTAAGTGAGAGATAATATCAGATTGAGCACAATTTAAAATTCATAAGGAAACAAAACTTCACTGACATTCTGTAATTTAAAGTGAAATTCTTGAATTTTTCAGTTAGCTAACAACGGGAGATGCTAACGTTGCTGTTGAGAGTCAGGGAATCACAAACCCCAGCAACACAATGTATCAGAGCAAGCAGTACAAGTCTCCTAAAGCTTTCCAAATAAACTTCAATTTAAGATAAATCATTTCAAAACTTGAGTCTAACCAAAAGTAAACAGAAATTAGCCCCCTAGAATAGCGACCGCCTGTAGCTAAATACATAGAACTACGTGGCATCTTGCTAACCTACCTAGCTACCCTAATTAGCTTCTAAACCCTTAATTGACCATTTGCAGATTTAGTTTAGAACTATGATACAATTCTATATTCTATATAATTTTAGTATAAAAGAAGGTTTTAGAAAGACACAGTGTGAAAACAAAGAATGGAAAAAGGCTTATTCAACCCCCTCCATTCTGTTTTGCTAGGATGCTTGTCACGCATGCATCAATTGCATCATGGTATTCTCATTCCACACAAGGCAAGGGTCAATGTGATTCATTTGACTGAGCATGGCCCACCAGTTGCACAGCCTGCCACTCAAATTTATGAAACCATCATTGTTTTTGCCTCCACTGCGCTAGGTGATATTGCATGTCAGAGACTTTTATTATTGAAATGAGACATTCATGATGGTGAGCCCCTGCCACATGAGAGCGGCCTCCTGAATCATCTCAACGCAGCTAAAAGAGAAAGAGGAATGAGATTTGGCAGATTATTGGGGCACGCCACCTGTGCTTCTTCACATATCACAATATGCCAGTTTCCATGAATGTAAAAACAATCTTTCTTGTATTGAGCTCAAGTTCACAAAAATCATGATCTAGGGGATTTATGGAAGAAAGCTTGTTGGTGCTGAGCAATGTGTCTCGTCAGGGGCAGACGGGGTCGGTGTTGAATGGGCAGGGGGTCTCTCCTCAGCAGACTATTGTTTCGTGGTCCATTGTTAGCCTAGTCAGTCTGAGACACTGGCATTATTCAGTCAAACATGCTTAATGCAAACAACCGCATTGTAGAGCTTTTTTAAGTCTGCCGGGAGCTAATGTAATGTTTAAACTGTGTGTGTATGCGGCTTGTGTGTGTCTGTTTCCATTTGCTCACAATGACACCATATCTGTCAGATTTCGCTGTGAGGTTGAATGGTTTCCATCACGCTCTTATCTCTGCGCACCAAACCCACCTATTCACATGTAGGCCTACACCCACACACAAACAAATTCTTATCTCTGGGCTTTCCTTATCGTCACTTGTTTGTATTCAAAAGTGGAAACAACATTTAGCCTTCTTAGCACTTGGTCAAATGAAACCCCACATCTAAAGGTTGACATGAGCCTTCTCTTGAGCATATTGAAAGCCTCCAGCTTGGCACTGATTGGCTTTCACTGTGCTATTTTCAGCCCCTTCTCAACACATGTAAGAGCCATTTCCACACCATAGTCTGCTAGTAACCCCTCATAGTCAATGATGTGTGTAATTGGTGCATCACAGACAGCAAAATGTTACATTAATAGCTGAGACTCGCCATTTGCTTTCTGTGTGTGACCTTAAAAGTCTATAGAGTTGTGTCAGAAAGTGATATATCTAACCATATTTACTCAATCCACTGGACTTTTCAGAGCACAAGAGGAGACAGTGCTGTGAATTAAGGTTGTCTATGACATTATGCTGCCCTATAAAGCCAAAGCGCAAATATTTTGTCAAAACTGAGGCCACAATCTGACATAAAATAAAAATGATGCCAAAAAGATGAGACATAGCGTGTATTAAAACTTTGTAGTAATATATAAAAAAAGCTGAAAAGCCAGTTAAAGCAAGAAAGCAATAGTGTATGAAAAGCTAGCTTAACTGGTGATTTAGACACAGAGCTGGACTTGGATAGAGATCTAATTATCCCTAAGTGTTTCATTTTCTTTTTAAATACTGCATATGCCCAGTACCCTTAATTAAGTCTTAGGGTCTGTGACATTTTTATATAAAATATTTATTTTATATTCATAAAATGAAGTTACTACTACTTAGCCTGTGTAGTTTGCCTTCTAACCCTTTCCACCCAATTTTACTGTTTCTGTAGTCTGCTGTTGTAGGCCAATAGGTCTATAGATAGATAGAAAAGAAAGAAAACATACAATAAGTATCTTTAGGAGTAATAACAAGCATACAAAGTGGGCTGATAACAAATTACATTTTCAGTAAAGGCTGTAGATCGATGATGATACACTGTGCTCACTCAACAAACACACACACATTGGCAACAGTATATTCTCTCCTCCCAAGCTGGAGCACACCACTTTGAACCTTGACCTTTAGGAAGAGTGTTTGAACAGACAAGAAGCTTTGGTTTAGGGCTACTGGGAACCATTTTTATTGGCAACAGTAACCTTTAACTTGAAAGGTATATGAAGGCTGCAATACATTGTTGGTTCATTACAGCCGTCCCTATGGACTGTTGTGAACTATTTTTAGTGTTCTTGTGGAGCTTCCATGGGTTATATCAGATGATGTAATGACTTGCTATTGTCTCTCTGTCAGTTTGGTCTCAGGAGCGCAGTTGAGTAATGAGAAAGGGAACTGGTAATCAAAATGGAATTACTGTTTGATATTGATGGAATCCGTACACCTACAAGTTTCAGCATAGATATCACACTTGCATGTGTAGCTCGCATGCATTGTTGCCTACTCACTCACACATACAGAGAATCCCATTACTAAACTGAACGACAGCACAATCCCTATGGGGAAACAGTCTTTGCAAGAGTAGACAATAATATAACAATAACAGGAAACTGCAAAGAATAGATATTTCAATGAAAAGTATAAAATATGTTTAATTATGGATATGTCACTCAAGGTTTAATGCAGACTATGTGTGACTATGTATTTCTATAAAAATAGCAAATCAAATGACTAATACAACTAACAAATATACAGTAATTATATAATAATTTCAAACGTATGAGGAGAAATATGAATGATTTTCCTGATTTTGAACCTTTTTTGCCCAATCCACATCTCAATTGTCTCTAGACCCTTCTCTATCTCGTCTGCTCCTCTTTATCAGCTCATTTGTGGTTTAATTATCCCTAATACTTTTTAACTTCAGTGGATATGATGTACATGTGTGATGCACACAAACACAACACAAGCCCACAAAACCTACACGTTTTGAGCCATTATCCCCAGTCTTTGTCACATCTGCTGGCTATTAATCAGCCCCCAGTTAGCTCATCAGCAGGCAGATTAAATAGAGGTAACAACAGCAGGTAAACACATTAGCAGGTGTACTAGCACAATCATGTCCTGCCTTCCAGAGCATTCTCTCTGATTGGAGATTAATGTGTCCATCTGGACCTCATTACAACTTCAAAAATGTTGTGGAACTTTCTCTATGCCTTTACTGAGATGCACATTTGTTCAAACGGGATGATAAAATGAAGCTAATGTATGTGGATGAGAACTTTTATGTGGAAAAAACATGTCATAACAAGAAAGGTCACATTTTCGATGCAGCCAAAAGTTAATTATAGCTGCAGAATGCAGTAGGATGTGGGCTAATAGGCACCTGAAGCCGATGCAGCACTTTGTTTTTACTTATTGCACTTAAAAAAAGTAAAATGTGTTGTGTGCATCGAACATCATAATGGTCTATTTGTTTACTGCCATTTGTTTGCTGCAAAGTCTAGCAGGCCCATGCCAACACCACAAAAATACATGCTGTCATCAACATGACGTCAATTTGCAGCTACTAAGCCATTCCACCAGGCCAAGATATATTTCAGAATGTAGCATGTTTCTTCCCAATAATGATGCTGACATTAGGCGTATGCTTCCACATTATAAGCTCTTGACAAGTACTCAGACATCCAAAATCATTTTAGGCTGAATATAAACTTGGCATACAGAGGTTAAACTAATTAGGTTAAACTTAGTGTCAGAGAGTAAATGCATAGGTGTGTGTGTGTTCTTTCATTGACACGGTATGACATCTCTCTACTGATTCCCTCGCAAATTAAGTAGGTGCTGCTAACTAAAACTGATGTTCCCAATGGAGCAAGGTCTACCCCAACTGCTCCTCCCTACTATGCTGCTCTTTTGGTTAAATCATTATTATTATGTCTAATAGGCTTAATGGTAGGAGTGCACTGTATGTAATGCATTTGAGTTAGATTGATTTGAAGAAGATTATTAGTGCACAACAGAATGAGATAAATGAGCTCATTAAAAAGTTTTTCTTCTTCAGAAAATGCTGCAATATAGTACATTATACAGTCTCTGTAAATTTGGCAGTAGCCTAAAGGTTAGAGAAGCGCATTTGTGAATATCTGGTCAGCACTTAAAATGTCTGATCCTGCTGGAAAAGTGTACTGTGTAGGTAAAAAAAGGCAGAATATGTAATGCACTCCCTCCATCAAGAATTACTGCCAAAGTGCCCTTTATAAAAGCACTTAACTTGTAGCTGCTTTACTGGAAGCTGTTCAGCACCCTGACTGTGGAGACGTGTAAAGGCATTGCGAGGCTCCCAGGTGTGAGTGTGAAACATGTTATCGCCGTTGCTGAAAAGAGCATGCGTGTCTGCCAGATTGTCCTTGGATAAATGAGGTTTTAAAAAAGGCACTCGGATCTTTAATAAGTTTGCAAGGTCTCCTTTAACTTTCTACTGACTAGTCTCCTCTTTTAAGAGACAGTATTGTAATTATTACCAGAGACATTGGAATTCAGATGCTGGAACAGAATATGATTTGCATCTTTTCACCATCACATGCAACAGGATGACAAAGGGTGTCCCAGTGATTTTGTCGCCCCTTCCCACAGGTGAATGCGCGTGACTTCTCCAAGGTCGACCATGAGGAGGCAGTGGTGGAGGCCATCAGACGAGACCCCATCGTTGTCCAGGTCCTCCGGCGGACCCCCACCAGAGCCAATGCTACTGTTGCACATAACCACAGCGGTACACCACAGGATGTGTGTGTGGTAGATGTTTGCACACAAACAGACATCACCTTCGAACACATCATGGCACTGGCGAAGCTTCGGCCTGCTACGCCTCCCGTCCCTGACATCTGTCCTTTCCTTTTGTCTGATAGGTGAGGGCAAACAGTGTACAGTTGTAGCCAATGCAAGAAGTTGTAGCCTTCCACCTACTGAAAGGTAGCTGAATGTTAATGGTACACACTGAGGAAAAATGGACAGGCTGTAAATTATTACCCTATTTTTTGTTAACTGGAACCAGGAAAAAGAAATTCCATCCCAAATTAACCCAAAGCTCCCCTGAGGCTTCTTTGTTGTTCTCTTTCCTTTCATGGTAGTTATTAAGCAGTTGTATCATAGTGTGGAAACCCCCAGCATAGCTAAGTACTTTGTCCCTGCGATATCATTATGCAGAGCCAAACCCGCATGTAATAATTGCTTCTGTGTGCTACATCCATTTTCTTTAATGGGAGCTTTTGCCGGGCGATTAAAAGCCAATGGGCTGATAGAGCAGGCATTCTGATGCTATGTCCACTCTGTGGCTATTTATAGGGCTTTGCTGGGCAGCAGATGAAATCAATTTGTCCTACAAAACTACAAATCTGACAGTCTTGGTCAATGATTATGGAGAGGCAGTTATCATGGTGACAATTTACAGAGGTCATGGCGTTCATGGGGCAAATGGTTGATGCTTACATTGCTTGTTCTTTTGCAAAACTACTAAGAAATGTAACTCATACAAAGTGTTGTTTTCCCCCTTAATTTACTAAAAGAAGCCATTTAACATGCCATGCTATAGCATAACTCTCTCTTCTTCGTTTTTCCCTCTAGTTGTCATTCCATCCACACCATGGAACATGAGTTTTATGAATGTCCAGAGTACCTGTCCAATAACCCAGCAGAGGTGGAGAGGACTGAAGAGTATGAGTATGAGGTACAGTTTTGCATCTTTCTGCTGGATGAATTTTACAGTTTACTTCAAGGTACAAAGTACTTATATGGTACATGTTTTGGCCTCTTTCATCCTGCGTCAGCTGATCTGTCCACAACAAGATAACGTGACAACAAGATGAATATTGGTGTGAGATTTGGTGTAAATTGTCATGGTCCACAGAGGATGAATACTATACCTTTACTTTTTGGACAATTCATCCTGTGGGGGAGCCGTGGAGAATAACAGACAAGAGTTATAAATGAAACGGGCTTGCGGTTACGGAGATCTAAAATGAATGTATGTCTATGGGAGTGTTATTTGATATACGCTTAGTAGCTCCACCTAGAGGCCAATTCACACCAAATTTCACACAGTGTGTCGGGAGGGCGTGGCAGATAAGGTCCCTGAGTTTTCGTGTAGATTGGCCATTGCAAACCTAAGATATGACATCACATCCACTTTTTGCGTTTTGGCAAATTTTGTTTGCTTATAATTAGAACGTTTTTTGCCGGATCAAAATTCCCTCTAAAAACGTTTATCGGCTCGGTCCAGGGATCGTCCATCTCAAGTTTGGTGCCGATGGGGAACAATTGGCCCAAATTTGGTATCAATCGGACTTGTGGTTATGGAGATTTAAAATGCATGTAAGTCAATGGGATTTTTTCTTTAATGTGCAATAATAGCGCCACCTATTTATATATATATACATATTTGGGTCAACTTTGGTGCCTGTAGTGAGGAGACCATGCTTAACAATTTGGCTCAAGTTTCATGTCAATCCGACTTGTGGTTACAGAGGAACAATTTTTTCGGGTTAAATAGCGCCACCTAGGGGCGAGTTGCACCACATTTTGCACAATGTGGCAATAATGTGCCACCCCCCTGAGGGCGTCCCACATTATTGCTCCAAATTTGGTGTTGATCGACCATTGCAAACCTAAGATATGACATAATTTCCTGTTTGTTTCCATGTTCACAAACATTTGTTAGCGTATAATTGCGACATTTGGTCGGATCAAAATTTCCTCTACAAACTTTCATCAGCTTGGTCCAGAGATTATCCATGCCAAGTTTGGTGTCGATCGGACTTGCTGCGTCATTGCTTCGGAGGAGTTAATTAAAATTAATTTAATTAATTACATTTTTTCAGTTTTCGTGATTTTGCAAAAAAAATTTAATTATAATTGGGCGTGGCCTATACCACAAGATTCAGCTTGATCCCCCGAACGCGTGGATATAAGATTTTTGATTTACGTCTTCGTAGGCGGGAGTTCCAAGCCCAAACGCTGGATCCCTAATTAAATGATTGGCTGATCTACCTGCCTGTCTACCTACCTACCTGGCTAACTGTGCACACTCTGCCAGTGCACTCATTGTACTTTCAAATGTGTTTTGGGGGACTGGCCTTGGAGAGTTTTCGGTTTGAAAATTTTCTATATCTAGCTGTCTCTTGTTAGTTTCTCTAATGTTACCAAGGCTAGCCCTGACGCATGACGCACACAAGTCCCACAACAATACAAGACAAATTGTCTGCTATAATAACGCAAGAAAATTGGCTGCCCCTTGTGAAAGCTGCATCTAGTCTTTAGATTGTCCTGGGTTGCATAGTCCCTGGGTTTAGGACGCAAGGCCATTCTATATATAATTAAACCAAAAAAAAAAAACTTCTCTGAAAGGCCTCCCTGTTGAGCTGCCAGTGTTCATTCACTGGCCGTTAGTTTCCCTTTCATCATGCACTGTCCTTCAGAAATGCTTGTGTCCCTATTCAAGTTGAACAGAAAATGTTGAGTATGTTGTGTGGTAAAAAGAAAAGCAAGCACTCAGTGGTATCAGAAGGGATTTGGTGGGATTCTGCAACCAACAAAATTATTTTAAAAAAGTAGTTTTCAGTGTTACAGAATGCTATGACCTTGCACTGATGAATCAATGAGGTTATGTTCTGTACTAAAGTGTGGCTGGTGGATTATGTGCCATCTCTGGTGTGTATTTAATGAGTCTTATCTTCTATAATATAGACTTTAGTCTAGATTTTGGTAGACATGACTTGAAATATTGTATATCAATAACACAACTAAACCTCAGTTGTAAATAGGAGGCTATCACAGAGGATTGTGAGGCATAAAAGCTCATTTGTTTTGTTAGTATATGTTACTAATATGTGTTAAAATGTACAATTCCATATTGAATGTGAGACATCTTTTCAGGATTAATGTTTGATATATGACCTTACATGTGCAGCCATGCTAGCGTTTTTTTGAGGCTGTCCTAGGCACAACAGTTCTTTGACCTAAATCTCAATGTCAGCATGCTCACAATGGCAACGCCAACATGCTGAGTACTGAGGGTGAGGGTTCTGGCACCTATTTTGTTACACTTCAAGCACTGAGCAGCTCCAGTGATGTTTCTGAAGGTGTGGTTCTAACATCTTGTGATCAGAAAAGTGGATTATTTGCAGTCAATGATCTGTACCCGCACGTGTCTCCATGGTAACAGATGCATCATGTCAATCAGACATTGGAACTCGAGGTCATGCTAGGTGACAGAGATGGGTGACGTTCGTTACTGTCAGTGGACCTCCACTGGTTTAATAGGGACTTCCTGGTTTAGTGAACTGCATTGTGGGTCATTAGGATTCCTCTGCTGCCAGCTGTGGCCTTACCTTACAGCGTCATCTGAATGAAAGAATCTCTAGTGTGTGTCAGGGGTGGGAGCGGGGGTGGAGGGCTCGTGTGCGGTAATAGCAGTACTATCAGAGCAAGGTTGGCTTTACAACATGAACACACACACACAGTCAAACTCCCCCACCTGTCAGACATCCTCGCACCAAATCAGCCATCCTCACTTACCTCTGTCCATCCATGTGTATCTAACTGAAACACGAATAGCTTTCCTCTTGGTTGAAACAGAATAGGACTGCCATTCCTAGGAACATTACTTCTGACAGGTTTGGCTTCGCTTCCAGCTGATTGTCCACATGGGTACTCCTGCTGTTATAATACTCCTGCTATTTCTGCCAAATCTACCAAACTATAATATTGCCAAGTAGCAGACAGTATATGTTGAAAATGAGTTTCAGTGCTAACAGTTTTTTTATATTTAAAGTTCATAATGGAATAGCAAGCCATTCCAATTCCAGTTAGCAGAGTTACTAAAAATACTGTTGTAAATATCTGAGTTAATCATGTTCTCAAAAGTTGCAACCCCTTTTGGATATTAATATCTACTTCCCAGCAAAAGTAATGTCAAAATGGCAGATTTTAATGAATGCTCTGTTTGTTCAGCAGGTTACACAGTACAGTTAATGAAGTGGCAACAGTCTGCCAGCAAGCAACGAGTTAGCTGTTTGCCAAATTAGTCAAAATAAACTTGTCTTAATTATGGATCATCAACGGGTACCAAACATCAAAGGCTGCATTTTTGTTAATCCTCAGAAACAAAGAAATATTGGCATGCAAGACGTGTTGCAAGAATAGAAAGAGTATTATTGAGCTCTGTCAGTATAAAATAAAGCAGAAAGATGTTACCTCTTTTTATAGATCAAGCAGTGACAAACACAAAAGTAAGAGAGGGGTAGTCCTGTGGTTTAGTATTGCACTTCCATAATGTTAGCTGACTTGAGAGAGACATTTTAAATAAAGAATGTTCAAAATCAATGCAGCACAGGCCAACGTAGCCAGGCCTTTACTCTAGTATGAGCCAAGCACCAAAAACACTGGATCCTAAAATTACCATGATGCAACTCGATAATGTTTTGTTAGACACTCACTGCCTGATAAATGCCTAAATCTTTTAAAATCCACACGCACTGTTGAGGTTGTCAGTGGCCATGCTCCCATAATGTACTACCAAATTGGTTTGCATAGCACTAAAGCTGATGAAAAATTTGCCAAAGAAATCTGAAAGATTAATAAAACAGCACAACTTTAATGGGAAACCTCCTATTAAAATCATTTGTAAGCTTTTCCTGAGTGAATTGTAATCACACTGTCACTATAAAATAGTGATGGCTAATAGGATGTCATCACCTGCAAAATAGTAACAAAGAGCCATTGAACATTAGGCATGGCAGAAATTTAATTTAAATGATACATGAAGTAGCTGTCAAACGGAAATAAACAGATGTTTAATTTGACTCTAAAAGACAGGATGCCACCTATAGTCATATGTCTCAAGTTGTTATACCTTAGTAGCACGTGGTAAATGTGATCTCTCCCATTTGAAATTTGGAAACCACATACTGTAAATTAAGAAGATAAATTCCATCAATTGTCACATTTCATTATAAGCCACATGAAATTAGTTTTGATGTCACAGCTGTGGCATAATTTATAATGTACAGTGGCACAGATTAGGATTTCTACAGTTTCAACACCCACGGCTCCACTCATCTGGAGATCATTGACTAGTAGGCTTCACACCACGATAACTGACTACAGTAAAACGCTGTATACCAGCCAATGTGCACTGACATAAAGGCGTTAGTGCTGTCTGATCTCACTATATATAGCTGTTCTTTGTACAAATCAGCCAGTGTACTAAACTTGTGAGGAGCGTGGGTAGTCAAAACAGAGAATGGTGTTACTATATTATAAACTCCCAACACATCCCAACCTTTGAAGGTCAGGGCTGTCTGCACAGGGGGTTAAATGCCACAGAAATTAATTACTTCCCCTGTCAATCTCTGCTATCGTGGTTTCCCATGACAAAAAAAAGGGGGGCTGGGGCTTCATTCTTGCCCCAGCCCCTTTGTCTTTCCCTTCTTACCCCACTCCCCTCTTTTCACAACTTCATTGCTCTGAAATGAATTTGGCAGCATGGGGTTAATACAGATTACCCCCGGAGTTATCTTTATGTGATTACCTTTATACACACAGCAGGGATCAAAAGGAGCCAGTAGCGAGTTAGGCTAAATTTAGAGACATCTCCTGTGGGAGGGGACCAGCTTGTGAAATACCATCACTATAGACCAGCCCTGTATGTTGCCACATTCTGGCTTCAGTTTGATACCGACAGGCTTTCATTTCATTGGTGTACAGAACTCATGCTGGGACTATATGTGTGTGTGTGTGTGTGGGGGGGGGGTCTGACTTATGCTACCTTTCGGGGACAAATTTCAGACTGAAGACCAGTTGATTGGGGACAATTTGTCATGTACCCAATTGGGGAAAAGGTGGATTTTTGGGCTAATGTTTAGGGATAGGGCTAGGATCTGCCTCAAGTTTCCTCATGGCCATAGAGGCTCTGGGCTAATGCCAGGGCTGCCAATTTAGTCGACCTTGTAAATCCAGCTTTATAAGTTTTGCTTATTTTTTTTGTCTTTGTAAGGCTTTCCTCCCAAAGTTATCCTTGTTTTATCCGTGTGAAGCTGGCTGATACAGGTGTGCAGTGATTGAGAAATCCCTTGTAATTCTGTAATTACATGGTTTGGAATTGTGATTTCTTCAGTTTGGCAAATCTAGCAAATGTGGCCTTAATTTTCCCTGGCAGACCCTATTCAGGGTTAGTGTCAGGGTAAGTTTTTAGGAAATTAATGTAAGTCTATGTAATGTCTCCAAAAGTAAGTAAGTAAAGTAAATGTGTGATTTATTTATATTGCTCTACAATACACTGTTGGACTGTGTGTTATACACAGTGCTGTGTTCTAGTGAGTTAACTTCTGCAACTTCAGGTCTTAAACTGGGTGAAGTTGTAAACCAGACTTTTCAACTGTGTGTATGTACAAGTGAAAAGACACCTTTTTCTTTGATAATCTGATTTCCAAAACCTTCAGCTGAATAACAGCTAGTAGTGGGTACATTTTCCAACACAACTCATCTGTTAGTCATCATTATCTTTTGCATTTCAGTGTACATAATCATTGAGTTTTTCCTCCAGTAAATATTTTAATTAATGCTCGTATTGGTGATGTTTGGAGGTTAGGCATATAGCTATGGTCAAGGTTTAGGGGTTAGGGCCTTGGGAATGCACAAAGCAACCGTCCTCAATAGTATATCATTAAAAAAACTGTGTTTGTAAAAGAGAGAGAGTGGTGGACATCTGAGGTTGCCTGGATATTGTACATCAGAAAATGAAAATAGCTTCTTTTTGCCTAAAGCAGTTTCACGACTTGATAACTTGATGACTACAGAACAACAAAACACGCCAAAGTGATTAGTAACGGTAATGTGGAGCATAAAAATCAAGTTGGAACTCATCTCCCATGGGTGGTATCATTCCAGCTGCTCTGTAAAACAGATGAATAAACTCCATGTTTGAACTGATGTGGTTTTGGAATCTATCAAATCCACTGGGGGGAAAAAAGAGTAGGCTCATAACAGGTGCACCATGGGAAAACATGTTTTTTTAAAGCATTATTGGTTCGTTTTGTGTGTGTGTGTGTGTGTGTGTGTGTGACAGGAGGTGGAGCTGTATAGGCAGAACAGCCAGGAGAAGCTTGGCTTGACACTGTGCTACAGGACAGACGATGAGGAGGACACCGGCATCTATGTCAGCCAGGTAGGAACAGATGTTGCTGTTATTTGGTCCTCCTACACTGACACTTATAGCTCACATAATTATCTACTGTTTACTGTACTGTAAAATAAAATGATAAGCACTGGACTGTAAACAAGCGCTCCCCAATGAGGTTTGATCATGACAAGGCTGCATTATTGTTATATCAAACTCACGGCCCCATGATCAGTCCTTTGGAGCGGTAAGTTATTAAAAGATGGCATGAAATCCCATTTGAATTCCCATCTTTACATCCTGATGCAGAGATCAAGTTGAACTGAAAAATGTTTGCCAGTAAAATTCAACTGTGAATGAGCCACGCATGGCAAAAGAGGAAGTCAGGTTTGAAATGTGATTCCCGTTTGCCATTCTCATTCCTACTCCTTTAACGTGTTATAATTTAATTAGCTCTGAGCGACAGCCTTCTTCCCACCGCCTACAGTATATTAAATGACACACTCTCCAAATACCAAAAATACAAAACAAAGAGGGAACATATTACATAGTTTTGCAGCTCAGAATAAATGTCTTTCTCTTGCAAATGATAAGACAAAATGGAAACAAATTATTGCATTATATGAAATTATGAGGGCTTTAAGCACTACAAACTGAATCAGAAAAATCTTTAGCCTGACTGCAGGTGCAGTTTCAATCCCATTATGAACAAAAACGGCAAGGGTGTAAAAAGTAAAAGCTGGGATATAAGTGGCAGAAGCACAAAGACCTGCAGTGCATTAGCTCTTGTATATATACCAGCTATTTCTCTGGTGAAAAAAAACTGTTCTTCTTGAACCAGCCGAAGACTCTGAACACAAAACCACTAACAACACGGGCACCTGCTGAACCTCAACAGATTGGCAGTCTCCCACCAAGAGAACGCATCTATTTTTGTATGTTTGATAAAAAGGATAAAAATGCTAATTTCCCTCATTAAAATGTATGTTTGTATAGAATCGGTGTGACTGTGGGAAAGGCGTGTTTTTTTTTACTACCTTTCCACTGAAGGTTTTTTTTTCCACATGTAGCTATCTCTCTTGATCTTCAATGCAAGAACAACAAAGTTTGTGAAATTATCATTCTATGTTTGTAGTGTTGTTGCATATCTACTGGGATGCATTTGGGATGTGTTGATCCAGTTTACTAAAATTGTCTGTGCCATAAACACTTGCAACTTTTATCGTTTGTTTTCTCAGTTGTCTCACGTGGTCTTTCACTCAAATGCTCTTTTTTATAATGTGAAGGACTTGCACGTTACCTCAGTCAGTGTCAGTCACCGGCTTGAATGAATATGAAGAAGCACTTATATATGTCAACCTGTGAAAACCCGCCTGTATCATGTGAAAAATACAAGGTTGTCAGCGAGAAAATAAGCATCTTCTCTTTATGAAAAAAAACCTGACTTTTATTCCTGACAGCAGAGATAAGAGAGCAGTGATCAGAGAGTGGTACATGAGTGGTGTTTTTTGTTTTGTGGAGAATACAGAAACCAAAATGACCAGCTGTCAGCACTGATTTTCACACACTTTTGTGCAGGTGGAGCCAAACAGTATAGCAGCAAGAGATGGACGCATCAAGGAAGGAGATCGTATTCTACAGGTGTGTGTTTTTACCTCAGTGACTTAAGTACATTCACACCAGGTTATATTATGAACTCACATAGTTTTAATCCTTAGTACTCTTCACATCGCTGGCAGGGTGTTATCTGTCATATCAGCAACATATTTACAAAATACGTGGCTGATATTTTTTTCTGTGTTGAACAAACTTGCCAAGGTACATCATCCAAGCCTTGCGAGGCAGTCTTTTCAGAGGATATCCAAGCTGCTGGTGTCTCCAGTCTGGGCAGGCAAATGTATATTTAATCACCTCATTTAACCAGGGAAATTAAAGTCCCTAGTCGCAGTTACACCAGGCCCTACATCATCTCTAGCACTGCTCTCTGTCATTACGCAAAAACATGTACAGGGTCTGAGACTGTGGCTAGTTCTCTCTAAAAACATACGACTAAAATGTTGCAAGCATATAATAAATATAAAGTACTTTGGATTGTATCTGTATTAAGTGTACTGCAGACACAAGTCTTCTGTAGTTTTTTTTATGCTATCTATGCTATCTATATCCTATTACGTATTTTCTATTATTATGTAGATGACTGTTCACATAGGCCTAATCTCCCCCAACTAGTTATGTGTTCATTGAAAACACCTTCTGCCTGTTTGTAAAGGCATTTTTTCTGCATGATAGGGCCACTGTATTACAGATCCATGTGGTTTTGTTTGGGGGGAAACTATGCAGCGACAACACCTTTTGAAAGTGAGCCTGTACATAGCTTTAAAGCATACACTCAACGTCACCAAATACGATGGAAATGTATTCTTTAATATGAGGTAGCATCTTGACACAGTGGGGTAAAAAACACTTGACATAGGTGTCCTCAAATCGGAACAACAGAGTATCAACATAACCTCTCCTCCATATTTATTGTATAATGTAGCACCCCACTCTATTCTCTCACTGTAGTGTTTCTGTGTTCCAGTAGTGTGAACGATTGTGGGGAGCAGGGCCTGTTGTACTCCTGGCCCTATTATCTTCGTCTGACAGCCTCATTACTCTAGTGAGGAAAAGATGAACGCCACCTGTCAAAGAACAGTTAATTGTATGTCTGGATGTGTGGTGAGAGCAGACTCTCACGAGGTCAGACTACGCACTTGCAACTGACTCCCCTTACCGAGTTTGCAGCTTACCCATACCTTTCTTTGGGATTGCATGTAGTTGGAGGAAGTCATGGCACAAAGGAAGAAAGACAGATGGTAGAGGAGACAGAGGGGTCTGAGAAAGAAAAGTGTGGAGAAGAAGACACATGGAGGAAGAAAAATAGGCAGAAAGAGGGAGAGAGAGCATGTGATTACACAAGGTGTGTCTTGCAAATATGTGAACAATGGTTAGCTGTTCTGCGCTCATCTTCATTCATGTCAGTTAAATGGATGATGGATGTGGCTGGGGCTTTCAACAGGTTCATTCTTCTTAACATGACCATCTATACTTGTCTTTGATGAACAGATAAATGGCTGTGAAGTGCAAGACAGAGAGAAAGCTGTTGCCTTGTTGTCAAGTGAAGAAGCAAGGAGCATCATACTACTAGTGACAAGACCAGAAATCCAGGTAAACAGACACACACACCTACACAGGCTCTCTGCCCCTATCCTGACAACCTATGTCATGTCAAATAACAACAGCTGCCTGCTAAGTGCCTTTTCCATTTCTTCGAACTGTCAGCGCGATTGTCTGGAGTTTCTGCACATACACGCAAACACAGAGAGAGAGAGGCAGGTTTCTGACAAGATGTTGTGATTTCAGCTGGAGGAGGAGGTATGGCTGGATGACGAGCAACAGGAGCTTGTAGAGGAGCTGAAGATGGAGGTCCTGGAGGAGAGGAGGAAGCACAAAGAACATAACTTTGACGGGGGAGATGAGGTGAGAGCATAAGCGAGAAGAGAAATACCTCAAAACAAGAGACAAAAATGTCCAATATAGAGGCAAAACGGTGTCAGGGGAAGCGGGAGGAAAGGTGATAAGGTAGGAAGGGAGGAGAGGCTAAATAAAAAAACAGTGCCAGAAGAGGAAGGATAGTGTGAGCGCAGGATTTGATTTATGCAACCTTACCATTATTTCAACACTTTTGCCAGGCAAGAATGTTAATATCTGATGATTCTACAAAACCCTGAATTACATTCAATGTCACATTTTTAAAGTCCAATTCCAACATTTTAAGAATTATTATTATTATGATTTATTCGCTTTTTCAATATCTGCGCATGGCAACTTCGGGATGGTTTGCGAAAGACCATTGCTATAGCAAATAAATTATAGTTACGGTATGGTTAACAAACCAAAGCACCTGGTTAAGGATATGGAAAGATCTTGGTTAAGGTAAATAAAAGGTCGTTAACTGCAGGTCTATGACAGGATGCAATCTCTGGTCTTCAGCATGAAAGTCATCAACAACCAAGACCTTTAGCCTCTCTACATATAAGGCACACTACTTCTTGAATTGGCACTGAACATCGGCATTGGACATAAATTTGGATGTTATTGCTAGGGATACTTGGCCTATCATTCATACTCAACAATGCCCTTTGTAGCACAATCGTGAACTGCAACAGCACAAGGAGCTCTTGCAAGTGAGTGGAATTGCTTTTGAGGTGGACTAACTGTTTTTATTTTTCTCCATACACCAGCATCAAGCTGAAGAAGAGATGACAACAGACACAGCTACCTGTTCTTCCAACAATCAAGACAAAGACAGTGGGTTTGGACGCAGTACAGACAGTCCAGAGCACCAACCCCTGCTAGCTAGACTCCACAAGAGGACCCCAACCCATTGCCTGAGAGACAGATGGTGGGCAGATCATCCACACACAAGACGAGAGGCCATGGTGCAACATGACACCCAGGGTCCGAGGACATCGTCCAAAGGCCAAGGCCATGAAGGGGTAGTCAGTATGCGTAATGGGGGAGGTGGGATCCTAGGTTTAGAGAATCACTTCGAGCAACTCTTGGAGCTGAAGTGTCAAATCCGGAATGGAAGCGAGTGTGGTGTGTACTCCATTCGACACAGTATAGAGTGTAGTCTCACTGAGCAAGGAGGAGGGGATGGAGATGGCATAGATGATGGTGGAGGAGGGAATGGAGTGGAGCAGGAGTTGAGGATGCTAAATGAGGAACTGCGCAGCATTGAGCTCGAGTGCCAGAGCATCATGCAGGCGCATCAGCTCCGCCAGACCCACCAGCTGGACCCCTCACAACCCACGTCCTGCTCACCAGGACACAAACGTCATGGCAGGTTGGCCGATATCCACGAATATCCAGAGAGGTCCGACAGCGATAAGATCAGAGAGAAAGACAGCTCCAGTGCCTACAACACGGCGGAGAGTGCACGGTCGACACCACTGGGTATGGAGAGATCTCCTGATCATTCTCTGCAGAGACGCATCAGCATCACCAACCAGAAAAACCTCAGACAGGCCTCCTCTGCACCCTCTAGCCCCATCCCTATCCCCAAGCCCCAGGGTACACCCAGTCGTAGCAGGCCAGCAGACCCAGGCTCTGTCATCTCCAGTAGCCCAGACCAGAGCAACCCTTCCCGGTCTGAGTCAGACCCTGCCCTGCCTGCAGACGATGAGAGGTGTGAGAAGAAAGGGAGGACCAAAGATTCCCGGAGGGGGCTTCCCTATGGTTCTTTATATCAGACAACCCCCTATCAAGGCCAGGGAGGATCCAGGCAACTTCAGGTAGGTATAATCAACAAGAGACATGTCAACGTAATTCTGATATGCCTTTGAGTGAGGCACCTCTGAAGACAATTCTGTGCTAACTGTGTTCTCTGTGTTGCAGAGCTACGTGCACCTGCTACAACAGCACTCATCCCTGGAGTATTCTCAGAGCCAGCTGAGTCTGCTCAGCGTCTGTCGAGATCCTGTGCACCGGAACGGACGCCCTGGGGAACCCCGTCTAGAGTGGAAGGTCAAAGTTCGTGCTGACGGCACACGCTACGTGGCCCGGAGGCCTGCTCGTGACCGCATTTTACGGGAGCGGGCACTAAGGATCCGAGAGGAGAGGAGCGGAGGCATGACTACAGATGACGATGCTATGAGTGAGATGAAGATGGGCCGCTACTGGAGCAAAGAGGAGAGGAAGCAGCACTTGGCACGGGCCAGGGAGCAAAGGAAGAGGAGGGAGTTCATGCAAAAGAGCCGCCTCGAGTGTCTAAAGGAGGGGCCAGGCAGTGGAGCTGAGGGCAAGAAGGAGATCAATATCTTGGAGCTCAGTCACAAAAAGATGATGAAGAAACGCAACAAAAAGATCCTGGATAACTGGATGACCATCCAGGAGCTGATGAGCCATGGGGCTAGAATCCCAGAAGGTTCCAAAGTACATAACGCCTTCCTGTCGGTCACAACTGTCTAGCGGACACATACAGTACCACTTATTTTCAAGTACTGAACACTTTAGTATCATGTAGTCTGCGTTTCAGGAACTACTGCTTTATGTAAAAAAAAGTGTCAGTTGGTGAAATACATAAACTGCTGAGGATGTCTGTAGCATCCCTTAGGCAACTTTGTAACCATCGCTTTAAGAATATTGGAATAGTTCTTTAACTATCATTACAAGACCTCAGCCATTCAAAACGTGATTTTTCACTGTTTTTACACTGGCTTTTTGGTAATGCACTGGCTTCTGATAGCAGATGATTTTGGTAGCATATTGGTTCAAACAGACACAAAAAAGTGAAGAACCAACACATTAACTTCATGTATACTATGTATTATGTCTTTATATTCTCCTCTCTTATGTTTAATTGCATATGAAGCGACTTCTTGCCTCGTTCAAAGTGGCATTTTTTATAAAGGGGAAAATACAATATTTTTCACACTTTGTAAACTCAGTAACTTTTTGTAAGGGATTTTTTTACACTGGATGTCAATGTACTGTAAACATTTTATTGTCTTATTTATCTTCGTATCACCAAATCATCGAGGTAAGAGTTGACACTATTTGATTGTACTGTATGTATTCTGGACCAGAGAGAAACTTGAAATCCCTGAAGGACAGCTCAACTCAAAACACTCCTTTCATTGTCATTAGAGTTTGAGTCATCTGAAAAAAATAAACCATTCAATTTAAAGCACTGAAAATATCATTATGCTATCTCAAATGCTCATATTATTCATGAGCTGCGAGTGCTTTTTGCGACATTTTTACCTCAACTTACAGTCAAAACTCTGATCTATCAAGTGGTTGAATGAACTAGGTTAATTCAAACACTGACTTAAGTTTCCCTTGAGTCAACCCTTACTATAAATCATAAATGTGTCAATTATGTTTAAAATATTAAATAGATTCATATTTATATTGTTTACTGTTATTTCTATTTATTATAAATTAATTTTTATGGTCCGTCTGATAAATGTTTGACATTAAGTGGCGACCCTTGAAAGGCCAATACAAGGTGCTGTCAAGAAAATGTATCATATTGAAGCCTTTCAACTCAAACCTGCCACTTTTCACTGTAAAGTTTATTAAAGAGGCCTTGAGTTATGTATTTGTTGATGGTAATATTTGTAATAAACCAATGACAATAAAAATGATTAAGAAAGACTTGGATTGTCATTAAATTTAGTATACACATTCATGTCCCCCTCAGTAATTTTAGTGCTTGTGATTTCCTGACTTGTGATTACGAGCCATCATCAGGTCCAAGCTTTAGTGTATGACCAAATACCTGGAAAACCAATGACATTCACATCAGCCTCAGCTTTTAACTAAGACGGTTAACATGGGAAACATTATACCTCCAGCTTGGCATTGTCATTAGGGGCATGCATTTAACCCTAAGCACCACTGGGTACAGAGACTGTAGAATCTTGGTCCATATCAGCCATATGATGTTTCTGCTACCCTCCTCAAAGACACAACCTCAAAGAATGTGGCTCAGTGAGCAGTCAGAGATGATGTCTCCATCACACCCACCATGTATTATGCATGCTGGGTCCAGCCGTTGACATGTTTGGATTGCACTATTTCTGAATAAAAGGTATTGTTTCCTGCAGAGGACAATTTATTCGATCCTATGTGATATTAGGCAAGGAGTACATGAAAGGAGGCAGCCAGGTTTATATATTAGATACATAGTGCAGGAAAACCCTTGCGAGTGCTGCCATTGATCAATATAGTGCAATCAGCTACGCTCTAAAAACATAATCCATTTGTGAGTGATGTTAAAGAAAATTATTGGTAATTGAACATATGGGACATTTAAATGGGGACTTGAATGATTGCTGCACCTGGAAAAGTACCACACCTGCCTGCTGTTCTCCATATTCACACTAACAGGAAGTCATAAAGCATTTTGATGTTTTGTAGCTTGATCGCACACAGAGTAATTTACCCTGTCGCTACAGTTTACAGTATTCATGTATTCACACTGGGATGACTGACTGACAGTGTGTGTGGGGAGGGTGGGATACGGGTGCACGGAGGCTGTGCGCGCGTGTGTGTGGGGTGGGGGGTGCTTGTCCATTTAGTGATACGAGGCATCAAAGCTAAACTATACTCCCATTTCAAAGCATTAAGGAGACGCTGGTGAAGTCTCCTCATCCCCTGTCAATCTGCTGTGTCTGTCCACAGCCCACTGAACTGAAGAATTAATGAGAGACATCACTGGCATCCCCATCGCCTAGGCTTTTATGCATAACATCAAATCAGGTAAGCATTGCACCCACTTTTCTCAGCTACCCATCTCCCTGTATAATATCCAACCAGTTATATCTGTGTGACAGAAGTGGCACAGGAACTGAGGAATAATTTACTGCAGTAAACCTAGCATTATAAATCATTAATTCCAATGGGCAAAACTAATTGATGTATTTGAATGTTGATCTGTTACAGTGGTATCGTGTGGTAGTCTACACTGAAATGGGCTTGGATTTCCATACATGTATGAAGCAAAATGGCATGACCAAAATACATAACTTAATGCTAAGGCATTGAGGATTGAGGACATAACAACAGAATACCACCATAACTCTGTGCAATATGGAACACTTCAATGTTTCATACTATGATGTTAACACAGAAATCCAGTCTTATCTCTCAAAATAGAAAGAAGACATTTTTAAAGTTTAAAAGTCTGTCTTTCAGATACTGAGACATGGCATTATAAATTAAATGCTGGATTGATAGATGCTGGATAGATGCAGTCACTGCTGTTAATTGCCTGATAACTGATAACTCAGTACATTTTCTTAAAGGAGTAGTTTGCCAAGAGTTATATGAGAAGATAAATTAAAGATTAAAGAGAAGGGAAAAGTGTATTTCACAAAACTTCTAACTATTTCTTTAATGAATCAGACATTCATAGACATTTTGAAAAAATAGGAAAATTTGAAACAAAGCTTATAACCTTAGGGGGGAAAAACTCAGTGGAGGAGTTCGGTTGGTGTTTGTTCTCTCAAATCTAGAGCTTTTCTCACAGCAGGATGTTGCTCCAAACACAAACCCAAACATGTGAAATCCATATATCCTGACTCCTGTTCAACCATTCTTCTCATCTAGATCTGTCTCATTCAAATTCCAACAGCTGAGCATCCTAGCGCTGCACTGTAGCACAGATGAAAAAGCGTGGTATTCTGGCTCTCTTTAATCTAACGATGCCTTTGAAGCAGCTGCGAATGACTAGAACAAAGTCAGGTGTTTTTTACTGAGACGCCAGTTTAGACGATGTGACAGGAAGTGGGTGACATTTTGTGTGTGTGTTTGGGTGTTGACTCTGTTTGTCTGTGTCCTAGTGTGCTATTGATAAAACAACTTGGGAGATCCTCAGGTGATGCTCCATTAAAAGAAGAATATTTTGGATATGTATGAGACATCTAAAAATGCATTAAGATGAACTGAGCTTTTGTTATAAGCGCCGCTCCCCATTTTAGCACACAGTATAGGTAATTTACAATGATAATGCTCAACACACAAATCATGTGGGAGGCTTGTATGTGTTTGACGGAAGCCAGCGAGGCTGTGCAGGGAGTAAACCTCACTCCCCGACACCTTAAGATACGCACTGACAACTGACACCAGGGCCCATGGGTTTACATATGCACTAATTTGTGCTTTTTGCATCAGTTTCAAATTCCTGCTACTCCCTACATGAATGTAAAAGAAATAGAGTCAGAAGGACTAACACAGTTGGATCAGTTATATTAAGGATAAAAATATAAGATTATAGACATGGGCAAAATGTGTGGCCTATCAAAATAAACTATTTGGTATACTTGGAAGAAGCAAAAATCCATTGATAAGCTTGGAAATTGCAAATGACCTGGTGGACTACAAAGACCATTATGGTGGATGACTGAGTAATACATTTACTTGTGAAAATAAAATACTGAGGGTGAGAAGTTCCCAGCGATCCACACTCAACGTATTGACCGTTGTAAGTACACCATTCATGTGCTCATAGTGCATTGGATTTCACCAAACATAATTCAGTCAGTATGAACTCACTTAGTAGGGCGGAACTATTTTGGAAAATAATCAAATTGCGATTTTGTTTATCAATATTGCCATTGCGATTTAATATGCGATTAATTTTTAAGCTCATGGCATTAAATAACATGATATAATATCATCAGTTCGGAAAAGGTTGGCCAACGAAAATAAAACCAAGTATCGCCTTTCCTGTTTAATAGACAAGCTTATTAATTCTCCGACAACACCGGAGTCCCCCTCCTGCCCTGCAGCCTGTGATGCTGGTAAGCAGCGTACTGGCTGTAACCGGGCAGTAACTCGGGACTGACTGGGCCTCTTTTGGACATGTGAGTTTGGTTTAAAACGCACATTTCACAGATATATCCTGAGCTGACTGGTAGCTGTGTGTGTGATGAAGGCGCCGATCACCACAATACACTTACCTTACTGTACGCGTCTTTCTGTTTTTTGCATTTTTCCTGTCCATCAAAGCTGTGGACCCACCACCACCACCACCAAGTTACCCGCGGGTGGCAGCTGCTACTTTCATTCCCTGTGTGACACTAAAGTTTATGTAATGTCAGCTTCCGTCAAGCTTAAGGCCATTGTACAACAAGAAGGCAAGGTACAGCGTAACCTGCAGACGAAGCATCTGCAGACTGCTTTCCGCGTGGGTGTCATGTGACCAGAGTGTAATCGCAGCCTTTGCCATTAGAAAATCTTGTTTTATTACATCGCGATAATATTGCAAATGCAATTAATTGTTCAGCCCTATCACTTAGGCACTCAAAATAGCAAGTTTAAGTATGGAAGAGCATGAACTGAGACACAGCAACAGTACAATTTAATGACAACAGTACACACATTAGCCAGCGCTGCTTGGATGTGGTAGTCCCCTGCTGAATCATGTTCACCATCGGCAACAGAAAATATTCTGTGGCAAACTTATCCCCACTAATAGGAGTGACCCACTCGTGGTCCATCTGCCATTCAGATCTGTATTTGAACAGCCTCTTTCTTTTTACGGGCAGATTTTACAGGCAGATTTGAGCTGGTTAGTTATATATAAAAATGTAGATATGTGAGTTATACAGAAAATTCACCCCCCACATATAGTGAATGGGGAACTAAGCCATAGAGACCAAAAGCGTTTTTTGTACCAGGCTGTAAACAAGTGTATTTTTCAGTTTTCTCTAGGGGTGAAGTTTCAGAAATGCAACCACTACCTTTCCAAGCATGTGCATGTGTGGGTGCTCAAACTCATGAGTGAGCATTCGGCATCGGCATCACACAACATGTTACAAACTCAGGTAAACTCCCTCTGCAATGTTTCAGTACTATTTTTAACCCTTAAGAGTTAGGGTTACAATATTGGATTTATTAACACACTTTAAAAACCTTTATTAAAAGCTTCTTTCTTTTCACATTTTTATTTATGTTGATATTTATTTTGTAATAGGCTGTATATTAACTTATTGGGAGAAAATTGGTAGTTCTATCAGACGTTGAACAACCCCATATTGCCAAAATGGTATGATCCTCATTTCATAATGCTGCTGCAAAGCTTAAACTGTGAGATTGACAGTCGAATCTGGCTCCACCCATTCAAGCATCGAATCTTCAACTATTCGGGGGTCAGCCTTAGAAGATAGTAATATGGATTGTTTTAGCCTTGTGAAGTAATGTGGCAAGATATAACGTTACAAGTAACAAGTTCTAGTATTTTGCACCGGATAATGTTAGCAACTGGTTGGCATTAGCCGGCAAGCTAACGTTATCTAACTTGAGCAAGCTAAAGCACAAAATCACAATATATTTTACATGCTTTGCAGTAATGTTAGTTTACCTGTCTAATAGGATGAAAGCCAACTCTGATTCAGTTTTTATATCCAAAAAAGATAGAGGTCTCGTCATTACTCAGATGTTTTTCCATTGTTGACCCGTGTTTTTGCCTGATGTTTAACTGATTCTTGGCCTGACGGGCTTCAGCACATAAAACTTTGTTTCTTGTTTTTTTATCCTTACGTGGATTTTGTGTTGGAGTATGTGTTGTGGTGGGAACCGGCCATTATTTGGTGTTAGTGGACTACATTTCATTAGCTGCGGTGTTGTTGCTGTACTGTATA